TTATCTTTGACCGCCAAGGGGTAATTTTCTTCATGATACCAGCTCTAGGGCAACTATGGACCAAGACTAGAGCTCGTCCTACCCATGAAACAGGGGGGTTATCTTCAGATGCCCAAGTTTCGGGAGCTCATCATCTTCTGCCTGCATTCAGGTAGGTAACATAGGGATATAGAAATTGTATTGACCATACTAAGTTTTAACTTAGTATAAATCTCAATGACTATTAGCAGATGAAAAGTCAGAGGTTAACATAAATTGGGGATAATCACAAGAAAAAAAAATAAAGAATAAAAATAAAATTAAAAGAAAAGGAAAAAATAAAGTTAAATAAAAGAAAAAAATAAAATTAAAAAGAAAAGAAATATGTAATTTCAAATTAATTGTAAAAGACTTCACACAGCTTCCATATTGAAACGCGAATATAGAGTTCAACTTGAAGACGCCAATAAGAGTAATAATAATGTTTTATGGGGTAGATCACCCCTTACACCCCCGGCACAACAAGTTAGCGGAAGGGACACTAAGGAATTCATTAAACAAAGAAAAAAAAACACAAAGAAAAAAATACGGTAGATTTTACATTTGGGGGTCATTTCTAACCCTCCCTCATAATCAGAAACACCAGAAAGTAAGATTCTCACTCATAAAAGTTCGTCAAAAAGGACATGGCCAGATTAGCACGCTAAGATTCCACCTGCAGCCATCTGTGAAGGGGGAAAAGAAGAAAAATGTTATTATTATTATTTTTATTTCCTTTGATTTCTGGCGTTTACACATTTCTTTCCGGGTCCCACCCAAGGACCTAAGGTTAGAAATGGTATCATGACACTTTCCACTGACAAAAAAATATTACATAGATAAAGCCCTTCGTAAAGTGTGGGCTGTACTTGTGAGAACAAATTTTGTATCTCCATGAGGCATGGACTTCCAGGAATCCCTTCAATTAGTCTACTGCAATCTTTTCCAACCAGTCCTAGGGCTCCAACTACAACAGGGATTGTTGATGTTCCCATATGCCACATTTTTGAGATTTCTATTTCAAGGTCCTTGTATTTTGACAGCGTTTTGAATATCTTCAAAGATACATTGCAGTCTGCAGGGACTGCCATATCAATAAGAAGGCACTTTTTTTTGTTTTCGGTCTCTAATAACAATGTCTGGGCGGTTGACTTTGATTGTTCTGTCAGTGTGTATTGTGTAGTCCCATAGAATTGTAACAGGTCCTATCTCCGTAACCGGGTCTGGGTGGTGTTCATACCAGTTTCTTTCAGTTTCCTTCCCGTAGAAATTGAAAATTTTCCAGTGCAGATATTGTCCGACTCTGTCATACCGGGTTTTATATTCAGTGGGTGCCAATATCGTGCAACCAAAGATGATCAATTGTTTCTGAATATTTATCACAGAATCTGTATTTTGGGCTAACACAATATTTTAGTATATGTGCTTGATAATTCCTAGTTAACAAGCATTGGGCCTGTGCAGCAAGGATAAAACCTTCAGTTTTATTATTATTATTCTCATTATTATTCCCAGTTTTCATGGCTTGCGATTTCAGAAAATCCTTCACCATATCTTTTACCTGTGATCTGAGGTAAATGACAGGGTTTTTTGCGAAAGTTATTGAATACATTATTCGTTTCAAACAAAAGTACGTGGAGATTTTTAGTGAATTAAAAAATGTTTACTTCTTTCTACATAGATTTATTCAACTACATATTTTTTCTACTAGTTTTTCATCAGCTTTGAGGCAGCTTCATCAATCGATCCTCCGAGGATTTGGCATCTTTCTCAGCGACGATCTGCTCTAAGTTTTTTTTTTTTTTTACAAGTTTCCAGATAATTAAGATTCTTCGCATTAAGTGAATTTTATATGAAATAGTAAATGGTAATTCGAGGTGCCAAGTCTGGAGAGAATTGCAAGTTTAGAATAAGATACCATTCAAACTGTTCCAACAGCTTCCCAGTTAGCAAAGATACGTGAGCTTTGGAGTTGTCCTAATGGAAGACATCAGCCGTGCGACTGGTTAATTCTGAACGAATTTTATCGATTGAGGACTTAAATCGGTTTAGCTGGGTCAACGACTTCAACCTCAGATTTTACGAAAGGTAATAGGTAACGCCCTTGCAACCTCATCAGATCTATTTCATCAACATTAGATGCAGATTGTTTTTTTCATTTTCTCTAGGCAATTTTCCTTCTACATTTGTATACAAACCGTTTTTCATCGACTCTGATTTTTCTTGTAAAAATTAGATTTTGTTGATTTTGAGTAGAGAATTTCAAATTGAAATACAGTCCATTACGTCTTTCAGTTAATCGTATCGAAGCGTGTCTAAATTCTTAATAACGCTAATAATAAGTGTATTTTACCTGTGATTTTCTGTGTCCGGAGACTTGCATTATTTTTAATCATTTTTTTTTCGATTGGGCCATCATCAATGACTACAAGACTTCTGGTTCCTTCTCGATTTTCCAGACCAAAATGTCCATTTCGGAACCTTACGAATCAGTTACGAAATGTATTCTCAGCCATGGCACTATCTCCTTAAATGTCACATATGTTTTTGTTTTTTTGTACAGACTTCAGGATTTCGGGAAATAATAAAATAAAATTAGGAAAACGCATCTTATTTTCCTTAATTTTTACTTTTGACATAAGAATATCTAATATTCACAACATACACACGAATCATATAAAAATCGCTTTGTAATGTATACCTTTTACAATATCTTCATATATCATTCAGTCACGTACGAAACGAAATCACCTGTTCCATCGCCACAGATCGAATTCAATACATTCAGTTAGCGGTGTTCACAAGTACAAATTTTTGTATCTGAGATTTGTGGTGGGTTTCTTGGGATTTTCCCTAAATGTATGTATTAGTATTCAACTTATTACGAAACAAGAACATTTCGTTAGAAAGAAAAAAAAGAATATTACATTGTTATGTAATATCGATCTTCCTATATAGCAGTGAATGCGGAACAATCTCCTTACGGATGTAGAAGAGACTTTAGGCAGGAGGAATGCAGTTCTCCAGAAGAAGGCGACTGAATAACATGGACTGTACATGTGAGTAATGTTTTAGAGAAAATTGAAACAAAAAAGACACTGGCGAATTTGGTACTCACAGGGAACGCTGAAAGCAAGACGGGGGCAGGGAAAAACATCGCATAACCGGCATAACGAACTTGCGTAAATGCTTGAAAGAGCAGGGTTTAGATGAGATAACATAAAGACAAATTTAAGGACAGAAACTTGTGGAGAACAGTGATCGTCTGCCTACATGCTGAAGAAGAAGAAGAAGAAGAAGAAGAAGACGTAAGAAGAAGAAGAAGAAGAAGAAGAAGAAGAAGAAGAAGAAGAAAAATAAGAAACAGGAGGGAAGAAGAAGAAGACATAAGGAGAATGAGGAGAAGAAAAAGAAGAAACAGGAGGGAAGAAGAAGAAACAGAAGAAGAAGAAAAAGAAGAAGAAGAAGAAGACGTAAGGAGAAGGAGGAGAAGAAATAGAAGAAACAGAAGAAGAAGAAGAAGAAGACGTAAGAAGGAGGAGAAGAAAAAGAAGAAACAGAAGAAGAAGAAGAAGAAGAAGAAGACGTAAGAAGGAGGAGGAGAAGAAAAAGAAGAAACAGAAGAAGAAGAAGAAGAAGAAGAAGAAGAAGAAGAAGACGTAAGAAGAAGAAGAAGAAGACGTAAGAAGAAGGAGGAGAAGAAAAAGAAGAAACAGAAGAAGAAGAAGAAGACGTAAGAAGGAGGAGACGTAAGAAAAGGAGGAGAAGAAAAAGAAGAAACAGAAGAAGAAGAAGAAGACGTAAGAAGGAGGAGGAGAAGAAAAAGAAGAAACAGAAGAAGAAGAAGAAGAAGAAGAATACGAAGAAGAAGGAGGAGAAGAAAAGAAAAACAGAAGAAGAAGAAGAAAAGAAGGAAACAAGAAAAGGAGGAGAAGAAAAGAAGAAAAGAAGAAGAAGAAGAAGATGTAAGAAGGAGGAGGAGAAGAAAAAGAAGAAACAGAAGAAGAAGAAGAAGAAGAAGAAGAAGAAAAAGAAGAAGAAGAAGAAGACGTAAGAAGAAGGAGGAGAAGAAAAAGAAGAAACAGAAGAAGAAGAAGAAGACGTAAGGAGAAGGAGGAAAAGAAAAAGAAGAAACAGAAGAAGAAGAAGAAGAAGAAGAAGAAGAAGGGATAGTAGTTATTCTTTCGATTTTGTTTTCAAGGTCCTTGTATTTTTAAATCATTATTATTGAGTGAAATATCACCAAGATAAGAAAGAAAAGAAACACAATATACAAATCTTGACGATCAGTCTAATAAGTGTAAAGCCGTGACATGCATCACAGCCAAACGTGCGCGATACGATATCTTGCACATCCTTGCAATTAAAAATAACCTCAAATCAGGTAACACACTCCGATTGAGGGTGTTTTGATGTATCAAGATGTGACACCAAACGCTGCCCAAATCTTCCAACTTTAAAAGTAACTCTCTGGCCTTGATGTGCTCCAATTCCTCCCGCTCATGAACAGAGATGTACAATGTATCAGCCTCTAAGGGACATATCCACCAAGTTAACACAAGCAAACCCGTAGTACTGAACGTGATATATACTACCGTCCATATCATTATTATTTACGTATTTATGCTGACGACACAACTGTTTACTATAGCGTTAATTGTAAGTCCAATAAAGTAAAACTTTCTGCTGCTCTCGAAAATGACTAACAATCAGTTGTTGCTTGTTTTTATTTAGTGGGATATCAAAACCTCTGTGCGTTAATGCCACAATCTAAAAATTTAGTACGCAATTTTATTTTATTTAAGATAATGGTTTTAGCGATACAAGTCTTACTAATTAATCCATAGCTGGGGGAGAAGAGGTAGATTCGTGCCTTTCACAAGAATATTTGAGCGTAAGTGAATATAACAAATCAAAGTAGAATTGGAACTCCAGTTAAGAATTCCGAGCCATTATCCATTACACCACCCGCACGTCCAAGTTTACAGCACTTGGTATTCCCAAGCGGTCACCCATCTAGTTACTGACCAGGCTCAACGTTGCTTAACATCGGTGATCGTACGGTAACCAGTGTTCCAATGCGATGTGGCCATAAACCTTGACAATCAGTTGTTAACCGGGGCAAGAAATGGCTTGTAAATTTCAAAGACTCTAAAACCAATCTGCTCTTTCTAATCATTACCAAGAACACTTTCTGCCTTCTCTAGGAGAAAAAAAAATCATAGCGCCTACTTAGCCTCACGTTTGCCACTGACATGAAATGGAGAGAATATATTGAATCAATTGCTAGCTCTGCTGCCAGGAAATTTTGTTCACTGAGCCGTGCCAGACAATTATTCTCGTCAGAATCCATCTTGTACATTTATAAATCTACCAGCTGTCCGTACATTGAATATTTCTGCATTATCAGACTAGTGCTCCTTCTATATACCTCGAGATTCTCGACATAATCCAAAGAAGGTTTTGTCACGTTATCCGTCCTCACCTGGCATCTCGACTTCATTCATTTTCCCATCGCTGTAATGTGGCTGAATTTTTCTATAAATATTTTTATGGCAGTTGTCCTAATATGTTCTACTCCTTGGTACCTATATGAAACGAAGAGGACTGCTAGATTGTCAATTAGGTCTCATTGCTTTACTATTGAAATAGATAAATGTAACAGTAATTTATATTTTAATATTTTCTTTTCTCGCAGTTCTCGTTTTTTCTAGGTTATTATTTCCCTGACAGTTAAAAGTTTAATTGCAACGTCAATCTCAATCTCCTTTTTCCTGTTATATATTATTCTATTTTCCTTTCTCTTAACTAAATTCTTCTCATTCTCTTACTCTTCTAGTAACTCCTTGCGTCTTAGTGGCATTACCTCGATGTTCCGTCTTCCTGAAACCTGTTCTTTTATTCCCCTTTCTCTTCACTAAAGTCTTCTCATCTCTTACCCTTCAAGTAACCCCTTGCATCTTAGTGGCATTATCGCCATCTTCTATCTTCCTGAAAACTGTTCTTTTATTGTCCTTTCTCTTCACTAAAGTCTTCTCATTCTCATTCGCTCCCAGTAACCCCTTGCGCCTTAGTGGCATTATCTCCATCATCTGTCTTCCTCAAACCTGTTCTTTTATTGTCCTTTCTCCTCAATAAAATCTTCTCATTCTCTTGGTTTCCTTCGCCTCAAATTTATAGACAAATCGTACAGATGCATGCTGGGATTTCTTTCTAGCCAATAAGACATGCCACTTTTCGGATTCATCTGACTTCGTTGTTCTTTCTTATAATGAAATCAGAATGTTGCGATCACTTGTCTGCCTCCGTTTTGTTTGTTAACACCATTTTGTGGACATTCTTTTCCTTATTACTGTTGCATTGACTACTTTTGTCTTGCATATATTGTTTGCATAGTATTATTTTTAACCTCTTTCTTTCTTTGTTTATTGCAAAATCTGTCACTTCTATTTGTTGCACTCTTTCCCTCTCGGTAATCCCTTTGCGTTTTAGTGGCATTAACACCTTGCCCTGGGTGAAGTGATTGAAAAGAAAAGGTATTCCTTGACGCGTCATAACAGGAATTGTATAAAACACGACGAATCATTGTCAGGCATTATCGCATCGTTTTATTTGAGAAAGAATTTAAATTGATATATTAAAAAGAAAATAGAATTTCCTTCCTAAATGCATGCGGATGAGATTGATATTGCATAATCAATTTTTGACAAATGTATCATCATCATCATCATCATCATCATCATCATCATCATCACGATTAGAATTTTACCAAAAATTATATTGTACATAATTACAACTTTGCAATGAGGCGGAATTATTTCAATATTATAGAAAGTAAAAAGAGGCAATCGTTTTTCGCAAGTCATAAATTGCATTTAATCTCATCTGCTGGCAAACAAAATTATAATTATCGATTTCAAGGAATTTCTCATATTCATATCGAAATATAAATTTCTACTTTCCAACCAAATTCCTTGTTCCAATTTATTAAGATTTGAATTTTCCCAAATTTCTGGCTTCCCAGATTTCATAACTTCCATTCGTGATTAAATACTGGCTTTCGAAAGCCGTTCTGAAAGATACAAGCAATATTTGTATTCTGTATTTCCATTTGTTTTCGCTTTTCAGAAATCAATGCATTGTATTGATTGAAATGGAGATTCACAGGTATTAGATATTTTGGAAGTCTATGAATAAACTAGTTGCTATGACGAAAGGAAGACCGTGTTGCGTTCGTCTTTCAGGTTTCTAGGTTCAGAAATCACCATTAGATCTTTTTTTATTCTTTCCTAACTCGAATATAGATTAAGAAAAAAAACACGAAACAACCTTGACCAAAACGCATACTCTCGAACGCGCGCGCTCACACAGATATATAAATATGTATGTGTGTGTGTGATGAAAAAATAAAAATAGGTTGGTAGATGCAAACATAGGTTAGAATTGCCTGCAGACTGCATGGACACACTTTAAACAAATTAAGAAGACACTAGGAATAAATGATAAACTCAAAGCAAACACTTAAAACACAAATGACTGAACAAACAGAAGAGAAATAAAATTAGAAATTAGGATATAAAAAATAAAAAATAAAAATTGAAACGACGAACCCATCGCTACGTTTATTGCCTAATTGTAAACTTTATTTCTTTTCTTTTTTTGTTACATTTTCTTTTCGTTTTTTTTTTTTCGTCAGTGTCTGCTTCATTTATTTCCTTTCTTTCTTTGTTTCTTTCTTCTCAATTGGTCTTTTCTCTTTTTCTTTCATTATTTCTTCTCTTTTTCTTTTCATTACTTTCTTTCTTTCATTCTTTCTTTCTTTCTTCTAAGTCGGTCTTTTCGTCTTTCTTTCACTATTTCCTCTCTCATCCTTTTCATTAGTTATTTTCTTCTTTCTTTTTCTTCCTTTCTCATTTATTTTTCTTCTTTCTTTTTCTTCCTTTCTTCTTTCTTCATTCTCTCTCTTTTAATATTTTATTTCGAAAACCTTATATTATTCTTTCTCTATCCTTCCTCTTATTTCATCCTTCCTTCTTTTCTTTCTTTCAATATCCTTTGTCTTTTGTTTTTCTTCCCTTCGCTTTATTTTCTTTTATTCTTCTTTCTCTTATTTTCCTTTTGTTTCTCTCTTAGTTCTTCTTCTTCTTCTTCTTCTTCTTCTTCTTCTTCTTCTTCTTCTTCTTCTTCTTCTTCTTCTTTCCCCTCCTCACCTATTATTCTTTTATTCTTTCCCTCTCTATTCTTCCCTCTCTTCTTTCTGCCCTTCGAGCTCGATTCTTTTTGGTTGCTATTCTCAAAATAAAAAAAAAATGGCGTAAAATATACAAAATCACAGAAAAGGCAATTTTAACTGAAATTTATAATTCAAATTCATTCCAAGAATAAGAGAAAATATTTAAAAAATTAAAAATATAATAACCTTTGGGTTGGTTTCTTTATTTTCACTGAAAATCACTCCCACATGCATATATTATGTCTTTGCATTAATATATATATATATATATATATATATATATATATATATATATATATATATATGTATGTATGTATGTATGTATGTAAGTATAAATATATATATATATATATATATATATATATATATATATATATATATATATATATTATAATTCAGAATTCTTTCGCTTATAGCACACAAAAAATATACCGTGTACATAGATATATGTGTATATGTATGTATGTGTGTAGAAATGGCCTTCTCCTATATGCTTTTGACATTATGCGGCTTATAAATAGGTCTCATGTACTTCATTTGAAATAACAATTATTTAGTTAAAAATGGCTTTCACTTATCCATTTGTCTCCGAACCAATCTTAAATATCACGTAGCCTCCATAATAAATGTAATCTTTTAGTGTTCATGCCTGACTCATTGTCGGTCTTTATTTATACTGACATCTGCTTTTTTTTTTTCGAATAGAAGGCAGATGATAGGAATTTGAGATTTATTTAATTCCTTCCGTTCGGTATTGACTGCGAACATCTTGCATCAAACGTATTTTTTTTCGAATCTTGTCACTAGCAAACACATGAAAACTGGAAGGAAGCTACGGTGACTCGAGCTCAATCAAATGAAGTAGTGGAATCACATTTTCCGCGTTATTAAGATTTCATATTATTCTAGTGTATATTTTATAAATTCCATCAGTATCGCTAATGCTAACACCCATTTGTTGCGCCTTTTCGGACTAACGTTTTCGACCGACATAAATATATTTTTGTCTTGACCAGCTTAATTATATATATTCCACTATATATATATCCTCGACTAGTTTCGGATAAAATGGCCATCATCAGGAGAAGAAATATTTCTGCTTGCTGGTAGCAGTAAACTACAGAAATGAATGTCTTGATAGAGAAAATGAACTTTTGTCTGTAGTTTTCATTTGTTTTTTTTATTTCTTTATCTTTTTAACATGAATCTTTTAACATTCCTTGTGTTGGTCAAACAGTCTCTTTTAAGTTGTTATTTAAGGTAAGAGCTGGATGGATCTACGCTTCTCTGAATTCCCTTGGTCAGTTTGACAGTTTTATTCGTCCTGGAGAGGGAATGTGTCTCTGTTAAGTGTTTGTGTGTGTGTTATTTAGTTCCTAGGGAATGAGTAAGTATGATATGTGTAAGCGTGTATATATATATAGTTTGTGTGTGTGTGTGTGTGTGAGTGGGTGTTAAAGTTCTCAGAATAAATCTGTAGTGAATGCAAACTAAATAAATTAGACAATCGGAAAATAGTACTTAGTCCTTACCGACGCCTTTCGACACGGAAAAATAAATAAATAAAAAACCTAGTAAAAAAAGATGAAATAAAATACATAAAAATTTACTAATATCGGAAAACATTGTTTCCGAGTCGACATATTTCATTCTCTTATTTTACGACAGAGTGTCTCTTTTCTCTCTGCCTATTTGCTGCGGCCTCTCTATATTGGTATTACTAGATTTGATTCTTATGGAATTGTTTTGGGACGCCATTAGAATGAGGCAAGTTTATCTTTTCTGATTCACCTTTTTGCAACTATGTCCATGAATTCATTATTCACTATTTTGTTTGCCTTTCTACATTGAATTAACTTTC